GGAGAGGATAATGGGACCTGCGGGTGGGGCTGGGGTGGGGGCCAGGGCAGGCTAAGCCAGGGCCTCACCTGAGGGCTTGCTGAACAGTTTCTCACGTTCTCTCTTCTCAGGTCCACTGGCTTTGCATGGCCCCAGGCACAAACTAGAAACCAGGAGAAGAATCCAGGGTCACTTGGCAATCAGATAGTTTCTAGGGAGTGCAGGGACATGTTCCCTCAACCCTCCTTCCCATTCCTGAAACACGCGATGCTGTCCAACTCTCCTTGAGGATAAAAATAATCACGTTTCATAGGAAATCAGCTGAATTGGTTGGTAACCTGGGTCACAATCAAAGAAACCTGATCCATCAACAAGTGATTGCCACTTTTGCAAGGGCTTTAGTGCTCATTAAATCAATCTTTTCCCTCTAATCTAATTGGGTCTCTTCAGGGTCTACTGAACTGGAAAAGTTGTGTGTAAATTACATTTTTGTAATCAAATTTTCTTTGAAATGCTCTAGAGGCTCTTGCTAAATAATAACCCTATCTTCACTTTACCCTCCTATAAATCTAATTTCATATACATTGAGTTTACTTAAATTCCAGGCCCACTTGTACCATTTCTTATAATCCAAATCTCTGCCTATCATTCCAGGCTAGTTTTAAGTATATAAGACAGGCAATCTCAGTCTGACATCATCACCTGGTGAGGAAAGGCGGGTTAGCATTAAAGAACTACTATGTGCCAGACACTGAAGTCAGCAATTGATTTATAGCATCTCATTTGATACCTGTAGCAATTCTGTGAGGTGAATATTACTGTCTACTTTCTATAGAGGAGGAAGCTGAGGCCTAGATTTTAGTAATGTGCCCAAGTTTTGCCACCATAAGTCAGTGGTAGGGCAGTGGTTTGAATCCGGGCCATCTGAGCACAAAAATCCAACCATGGAAGGACAGAAGCGTGGAGACTTAGTTTCCGACTTGGGCTGTGCCCCAAATTTGGTGTGACCTAAGGGAGTCATCCAGTATTCATTGAGCAAACATTTCCTAAGTGCCTACTGTACGCCAGGCACTGGGCTAAGTCCTACAGGCTTTGCGCCCTAAAAGTCCAGTGGTCTCTGATAGTCCTTCCCTCTAGCACCCCACCTTTTGCGGAAGATCTCCCCAAAGGGTAATGGGGGCCTGTGTATGGACACTCACACTGTACTTTTCCCATCTGAGTGGGTTGAGCTATAGATGGAAGGAGGGTGACTGGGGTTTAACACCATGAATGCCCTGCCTGGTTGTCTTGGTCTTATAAATTCAAGGGGGAGATCAGCCACATCTTATTGATTTAAGAAAATGAACCCTTACTTCTGCAGGAACAGATCTCTAGCAAAATGGTGGCGCTAAGATGACAATATAAGAAGCAAGACTCAGTCAACCTATGTCTTCTGGACACCCAAATTGCTGTTCTCTGAGACCCAGGCTGTGGCTCCCAAGGGCAGGCTCTGCAGCTGAATCATTCTGTGGTCCCTGACACAGGGCCTGGCACTGGAGAAGTGGTCAGGAATTGGGTACTGAATGAAAGAGCAAAGTCTTACTGACAGAGAGCAAAGGGAAGGAAGACCTCCATAAAGCTGGGAGTGGAGTGGGTATGGAGGATGCTGAGCTGGGCAGTTAGTTGTGACCAAAGAGGACAAACAGGGTACCATAAGGGGTGACAAAGATCAAGCTTTAGTTAGGCTCCTCCGAGCCCTCTTCACGATTAGGCCTTGACTTTGGCCTGCCATGTTCATCTTGTCCTTGATGGTCCTAAATCAACCAGTCTTAGAAAGAATCTTGCTAAGTGAGTTTAGAGAGAATTCCCCACCCTTAATATCTGATCACCCCTGATCAAATTCCTCACTCTCACTCTGATCATCCTGGCCTGCCTTCCACAAGTATCCCATTAAGTCAGTTTAGCAAGAATCTCCCTACCCTTCATGTCTCCTCTTAGGAATTGCCCATCCACGAACTTCCTTACTCTGCTCATTGGCCATCTTTGCTGTATTCAGAGTTGGGCCTGATCTTCCTCCCCTATTGCAGTGTCCCTATTGCAATAGTCTTGAATAAAATCTTCCTTACTTTTTTTTTTTTAAATTGAGAGAGGGAGAGAGAGAGAAAGAAAGAAAGAAAGAAAGAAAGAAAGAAAGAAAGAAAGAAAGAAAGAAAGAAAGAAAGAAAGAAAGAAAGAAAGAAAGAAAGAAAGAAAGATCGATGTGAGAGAGAACATTGATTGATTGGTCACCTTCCGCACACACCCCGACCGGGGATCAAACCCACAACCTGGGCATGTGCCCTGACTGGGAATTGAACCCTCAACCTTCTGGTGTACAGGAGGACGCTCCAACCGACTGAGTCACACTGGCCAGGGCTCTTCCTTACTTTATAAAACAAGTGCCAGGATATTTTTTTTCTTCAACAGATGGGAATGGCAAGGTGTCAAACCAGACTGGACCTGAGTCTTGAGGTCTGTGAGGACTGGCCCTGGTGTTCTTTTTCCCCAAGACAGAGAGGCAGACCAAGAGAAAGAGAGACAACTGGGCCCCAGCCCTCACTCCAACCGTTTCTGAGCCCACAAGGGGAGGCAAGAGCTGCTCTCCAGCTGGACCTGCCCTCCCAGCGTGGGAGGGGGTGGAGAGACCGGGGTGCACGTACCAGAGAGGAGGACAAGCCAGGGGCAGTAGCCCCAGGAAGCCCAGGCCATGGAGTCTCCAGACGCTGGTGCTGGGTCAATGGCGGGACTGGGAAAGTGGGCAGGTCTCTTCCTTCCCTGACCTCTTCCTCCAGGCCTTTCCGGGGCAGGGGCTGGTGATGCGGAGGAGGCTTGCGGCTGGTGGCTGAAGAACCCCCTTCTGGTGTGTTGTTTCCGAGGGATCCAGGAGTCAGGGTGGGCAGAGAAGCCTCTGCTGGCTCCCAGTCTCCTGGAGTAAGGTGTGAGCCTGACCCAGGGCAGAGTCCAAAGATCTGAGACCGAGGAGCAGCAGCTGGTCTCAATCAACCTGCTTCTCCCAGCCCCCTTTAAGTACGGCAGCCAGCCTTGGCCGGCCGTTCCTGAATGCTGTCCCCCTCCCTCCGGCAAGCTGTTTCCCATTAGCTCCCCCACCCCGGGCTCTGGCTACAGTCCCACTTTTGCTTCCAGATGGATGTTTAGCCTTCCTCCTTCTCCAAGGTGGCCTGTGTCAGAAAAAGTCAGTGACCTCTCTCCCTAGTGCTTGAGAAGCCCACTGCACCCCAGGGAAGTTGTTTAGAGCTGGAGAGTTACTTTCTTGAGCTGGGGCGAGTCCCCTCAGGAGAGCCCACTCTGTAAAAGTGCGGCTGGCCCCTGGCAGAGGGGAAGGCTGCCCTTCTCTTGGGACTGTTAATGCCATTCATGCCTGAGAGGGAACAAGGCCCAGAGGCCTGTTTGGAGGGATCAGGGGATACCACTGAAGAGGAAAGAAGACCCAGAGAAGGGAGTCTGGGGGCTCCCAGGAGACAAATTTGGTTAAGTAGACATGGAGTTTCTGCCATAGCTTCTAGAGCATGACTTTCGTCCCCTGTGGTCACTCCTACCCAGCAGGACTCCCTACAAAGGAAGTGGTGAAACTGCGGCCAGCTTTGTCCCTACGGCCACTGCATTAGATGACAGCTCACTGCACCAGTGCCAAAGCAGCTCCCAGTAAATGTCCTCTAGAATCTCAGCTGGAGCGGAACACTTCCGAGACACACACAGACCCAATGGACAGGTGCTCACCTAGCCTGGAGGGCCCTAGAGGCAAACCACTCATTCCTTTTTTATTTCATTTTATTTTATTTTATTATTTTATTTTATTTTGTTTTGTTTTGTTTTGTTTTTGGTGTATTTATACTCTGCTTACATGCCCGACAAATTTAAGGCAGCTTTAACAGAATCCATCCAAATACAATGGAATAGACCATTTTGAAGAGGAAAAGGGGGCCTTCTGGGACTCTCTGAGGGGCAAGCAGGTCAACTTGATGGAGTGACGCGGGGGTTGGGAGTGGAAAGGGGGGAGATGACCCTGAAGACCGCTGTTTAGGACAAACAGCCCTGCCTTCACCAGTGAACCTAAGGACCATACTGCCAGGGTTTCAATCCCAGCTCCAGCACCCACTAGTTGCGTGATACTGGGCCAGTGACTTCACTTCTGTGAGCCCTCAGTTTCCTTGCCTGTGAAATGGGGTAATAACAGTACTAACTTCTTAGGAGTGTGATGATGATTAAATGAGCTAATGTCTGTGAAGCTCTCAGAATGTTATTTGCCATAATGAGTCAATGCTACATAAGAGTCTGTTGAGCCAAACCCATAACTAGAACTCATACCTGCCTCATCTATACCCTGTTCTTTCTGCCCCTGGCATCCAACACTGCTGAAATGGCAGTTAATATTATACCAGAGATCAGCTGGGCTGAAGTGCCAACTCTGGAAGCAAATAAAACTATTGGTGTCCCTCCCCATCTTCTGGACTCTGCCCCAGGGATGGTCTCGGAGGCTACTCAGGCTCCGCACAGTCCTCAGCCCTCTGGTTCTGTCCTCACGGTCCCTGTCTTTCCCCTGGTGTTGACCTCACCTGCCTTCCTGCTCAGCTCCTCCCTTATCTCCTTATCTCAAAACCAATGACTTTAGTCATCAGTTTTGGGGACTTGAACTCAAGTTGGCAACAGGCCTGAAGTGAAAGCAATGATTCAGGGTGGGGAGGGTGAATTACCAAGACTCTTTGTACCAAAGATGTTTGGAAGGTCACTGGAGACTTGCTGTGGCCTCCTCAGGCAGCCCATCTCTACTGGTCTCACTTTTTGGTCCCTGGCTCACCTCAAAGCCAAATTCTGAAATTGGAGAAGTTCTTCAGAGGTTTTCCTGTTTATGCCTTTTTTTGCACCCTAATCCCTCGCCAGGCTTGTCACCTTGCCTTCTGACTGGGTCTGCCTACTCTGGGCAGCAATGCCGCCTAACTTCCATCTGAATGCACCTACCCGACTTGCATCTTTCTCCCACTCAGTGACAGCAGGCATCCTGAGTCAGAGTTCAGATCACGGTAACAGGCCATTTCATCTATTTGACTGAGAAAATGTGCGTAAAGCGACCAGCTTCCAAGCCGCTATGCTGTGGGACCCTCTGCTAGAACTGAGAGGCAGCTGGCCAAAGTGGCAGAGGGCATCCTGGTAGCCTTGGGGAGCAGCAAGGGGGCAGACGTTGCCAGGAGAGGCACAGAAATGGCACCTCAGGCGTAGTCATGGGGAGGGTCAGCAGTCAGGGAGCAGACTGAGGGCAACGATGCGAACAACAGCTTACAAGGGCACAGGCAGGCAGCACCATGGCCTATTTTGTCTGACATAAGTATTGCTACCATACCTTTTTTTGTTGTTTGTTTCTATTTGCATGAATTATGTTTTTCCATCCCTTTACTTTCAGTCTGCATGTGTCTTTCGATCTGAAGTGTCTTGTAGGCAGCATATGTATGGGTCTTGTTTCCTTATTAATTTTCTTATTATTCTGAATGCAACATTTTCCCCATTTCCAGTTCTAGATGGTTATTGCTAGTGTAGACAGAAAAACAAAAACAAAAAAATCCAACATGTCATCTTGTTCATTTATTCCAGAAATATTTTATTATAATTTCTTGAGGAATTTTTAGATGTACAATTATATCATGAACAAGAGGGGGTGTATACTTTTTTTTTTAACCAATATTTCCTTTTTTCTTTTTATAAATTTTAAGTTTTAATTATAGTTGACATTCATTCAATATTATTTTATATTAGTTTCAGCTGTACAGCATAGTGGGTAGACAATTATATACTTTACAAAATAGTCCCACTGATATTTCCAGTACTCACCTGGCACCATACATAGTTATTACAATATTATTGACTGTATTCCCTGTGCTGTATTTACATCCCCATGATTTTTTGTAACTACCAATTTGTACTTCTTAATCTCTTCACCTTTTTCACCCAGACCCCAGACCCCCAACTCCCCTCCCCTCTGGCAACCGTCAGTCTGTTCTCTGTATCTATGAGTCTGTTTCTATTTTGTTTGTTAGTTTATTTTGTTCATTAGATTCCACATATAAGTGAAATC